CTACATTACGCCGCATTTACATTCCACTAGTTTTACTTCACATTATGGAGGGCTGTGTTATTGTTGAAGTACCCAAATTGATGGTAAGTTATGATTTTATTTTTTTTTTTTTAATTTGCACTTGTTCTTTTTAAACAAAAACCTCGTTTTGAATTAATACAATTTACATTTATACACAGCCACAAATATGCGGCAAAACAAAGACAGCGCTATTTTTCCATTTATTTATTTTGATTTTCGTCGTTTTTTCTGTCTCGCTCACTCACGGTTCTTGGCTGTTTTCGAAAACAAAAAAGAAACACAACAATAGCAGTGAAAAATAAGCTATATATGTAAATGTGTATATAACAACAACAGCCAGCAAACACGACACAAACACAAGCCACACTAAGCTGCTATAATAAAATTAAGATTTGCTTACATTTTCTTGTGATTTTGTTTTGTATTCTGTTTGTGGTTATTCACTTCACTTGTTATTCTTTATACTTTTGTTCAGTGTAAAGAGATATCGCTGTGCTTCTTTCCACAGATTCTGCTTCTGGGTTGATACACTCTAAATAGGTTTTAGGTTTTCTTTTTCTATTCAATGACTTTTCACTGCACTTCAAATCCGTATGGTTTTGTTGTTTTCAAACTTGTTTTGAAACAATTTTTACATACAAATTTTTTACTTTTATTTATAACTAGCTGAACCCGGTGCGCTTCGCTACCCCTTTTGATTTTATATGCATTCAAAATTTTATTTACGAATATATGTTGGATAAAGACAAACAAATTTAAAAATTAAAAAAAAATATTGCACTACTTTAATGCGTTAATAAACAAAATCATTACAAAAGCAGTAACATGACATGCATACACGAAGGGTTTGTCCTTTGGATTTATTTATTTCATAGCAAATACCAAGCGTGCAGGAAACTGCAATTTTTTTTAAGTAGAGTGGCATTTCTATTGCAATTAGTGAATTCGAGATAGCAACATACTTCGCCGTAATAAGCGTATTTCAAATAAATTGTTGTGTTGTTTTTTAGTGTTAGCCTAGGGCGTTGTGGGTCAATGGTTCTTATTAAAATCATATCCCAATCTGATCCGATTTAAATATAATTTTAAAAAAATTACTTTTACACCAAACTCCGCCACACCTTTCATATTTAATTGAAATTGGTGCGTCAAATATGTGAAATCGGCCGAGAATATATATATGGGAGCTATATCCAAATCTTAACTAATTTCCAATTAAATTGACACATTTATTATTATAACCAAATTCCGCCACACATTCTGAATTTCATTGGAATCGGTCATATATATCGTGTTTGGTGCATAATATGTATGAAATCGGCCGAAATATATATGTTAGCTATATCCAAACCTCAACTGATTTCAATGTAATTTGGCAATTTTTGCTGGTGCCAGATTTTGTCTCTCTCGCTTTGGGTGCATCAAATATGTGAAATCGGCTGAGTATATATATGGGAGCTATAATCACATCTGAGCGTATTGGAATATAATTTGTCAAGTTTATTTTTGTACCAAATTTAGCCACACATGCCGAATTTCGTTGGAATCGGAAATACGTATCGTGTTTTGTGCATCAAATATGTTAAATCGGCGGAAAATATATATGGGAGCTATATGCAAATCTGAACCGATTTTATTATAATTTGACTAATTTATTTTCTAATCAAAATCCCGTTACATATTCCAAATTTCTTTGGAATCGAACATACATATCGTGTATGGTGCATAAAATACATGAAATCGGTCGAAAATATATATGAGAGCTATATCCAAATCTGAACCGATTTCAATTTAATTTGACAAATTCATTTTGGCTCCCAATTCCGTTACTTATTTTAAATTTCATTACAATTGGAAATACATGTCGTGTTTGGTCCACCAAATACATGAAATCGGCCGAAAATGTATATGGGAGCTATATCTAAATCTGAACCGATTTCAATATAATTTGGGAAATCAATTTTTTAGATAAAATCTATCACACGTTTCAAATTTCATTGAAATTGGGGATACATAGCGTGTTTGGTGCATCAACTGCTTGAAATCGGCCGAAAATATATATGGGAGCTATATCCAAATCTGAACCGATTTTAATAAAAATTGACAAATGTATATTTGTTTTAATGTCCACTACACATTCCAAATTTCATTGAAATTAGAGATACATAGCGTGTTTGTGGCATCAAATACATGAAATCGGTCGAAAATATATATGGGAGCTATATCCAAATCTGAACCGATTTCAATTTAATTTGACAAATTTATTTTCGGATTAAATCCCGTTACTTATTTTAAATTTCATTACAATTGGAAATACATATCGTGTTTGGTCCACCAAATACATGAAATCGGCCGAAAATGTATATGGGAGCTATATCCAAATCTGAACCGATTTCAATATAATTTGGGAAATCAATTTTTTAGATAAAATGTATCACACGTTTCAAATTTCATTGAAATTGGGGATACATAGCGTGTTTGGTGCATCAACTGCTTGAAATCGGCCGAAAATATATATGGGAGCTATATCCAAATCTGAACCGATTTCAATATAATTTGACAAATTTATTTTCGGATTAAATCCCGTCACACATTCCAAATTTCATTGGAATCGAACATTCATATTGTGTTTGAGGCATCAAATGAACGAAATCGGTCGAAAATATATATGGGAGCTATATCCAAATCTGAACCGATTACAATATAATTTGGCAAACTTATTTTTGTTTCAAATTCCGTTACGTATTCCAAATTTGGAGACTGTATCTTCAACCAATCAATAGATATGTGCATATGAAATCTAAATTTTTGGGAGGTACCTCCGATTCTGGTGCTATATCTCCAGTTCCAAGTGGAAATTCAAAAATGTATATAGCCTATGTTACTTTCAGGCGATGTTGCAGTATATATGGAAATTTTCAGGAAAATCTATTCAGCGGTTTTCGAGTCCATAAATTACAAACAAACAAACAAACAAACAAACAAACAAACAAACATACAAACATTTTCCTCTTTTATAGATATAGATTTACAACAATAAATTCTGATTTTATTTTAAAACACATTGTACAGCTCGCCATTTGTCACGTCAGGCGAGTCTCTGTGTAGATGCGTGTGTGTGTATGTTGTATATGTGGATTTGGCAAACACACAATTTGGACGAGTTGGTCGAATAACACAGGAGAAATTCTTTGTTTTTTTTTTTTTTTCTTGTGTAAATATTCGAATTGCACGTAAATCTTTTTCAATACGCGACGAATTTACACATTATGATATTTTTACAGCGATCTGTTTCGATTTTTTACACTTAAATTCTTATTTTAAACTACTCTAAAATCTTTTGGAAATTTTGTCGTATTTTTTCCTACAATTAAACGCGTTCTGCGCGATGAAAGTTAGGGATACGTAGCTCGACTTTCAACTTATCGATTAATCGACTTTTGTGGCAAACAAAGGTGTTTTCTGCTGCATGAAGAGTTCAACAGTGCGACGGTGATGCTACATCAAGTAATAGTTCCGTTCGTTTTCTTTTATTCTATCACAAGTTGCTGAGCATGGTAAAAATAAGATGGTAAAGTCATGCAATCATATGTTTACAATTTTTTCAAAACTGACCATCTGACAACATCTCATTGTCAAAATGATTTTCATGACATAAATTCAAATTCAAAATAAAAATGTAAATTTTGAATTTGAAAATATGAAAACATGTTTTCTTTGCAAAACAAAAACAATTTTTGGCCGAAATGGATGTTTTTTTATTGTTCTCAAATCCGAAGAAGACCCTAAACGATGGTACCAACTATGCGACACTTATAATTTTTTTTGGACAGGCATCGTAAAATTTTTCAAATCAAGCTGCATCCCATACGTTCTGGGATGTGCAAAATTCGAAAAGAATAGGATGATTATGTTGCATTTATAAGGTTTATGAGAATACACAATTTTCACCCGCAATTTACATACTAACGGAAAGCGTCACTGAGTACAGCAGTAATACTAGGGAACACTCTAGAGCCGAAAATGTTTCCGTATAGGAGTTCTTTATGTGGCATTTCCACTACACTTGATTCGCTCTCTTTTCGTTGTTTGACCCTTAACTATGAAAAAACTACCTAATTCTTCACATTGTTCAAATTAAAACACTCTCAGAACAACGAAAAAATATGTCCCATCCGTAACAAATGAGAGACTTTATCGAAAAAATAAATTTTGACATTTATATTAAAATAGAAAAATTTAATTTTAATAATTTTAAAAAATTTTGGGAAGACTGAAAATTATGGATGAAAACTACAATGTTGAATGGCGTATTTACATTCTCTCCCATTCGAGGTATGCATTTTGTCCACGAGTTGAAATTTCCACAGAAAACTGCAAACAAAAGATGCAACATTTTGAAAATGTTTGTATCGACAGAAAAAAATGTTTGTCAAGTGTCTCTCCAGCAGAATTTAAAAGTAGAAAAATACAAAATTTGTTCAAAATGTCAAAATTTACACAAAAAGTTGAAAACGTGAATGAAATTTGTAAACTTAATGACATAATAAATCTTTGGTAGAAAAACAATAATTTCTTCTATTCATATTGTATTTTCGTATAAATTCACATTAAAATCAACAAACAAAATTTTTGAGTAAGGGAATTATTTTACTATGCATTACGAATATCTAGTTTTGCAATTTTTTCAATATCATAGAGGGAAAACCGATTATCGTAGTAAACATTTTTACATTTTTGCTGTTCTGGAACATAACAAATATTTTTTGGAAATTTTATTGCATTCTATTTTGGTTGTCCACTTATACCAATAAATACAGTGTTTAAGTTCGTCAATTATTTTAAGAATATTTTGTTTTTATTTCAGAGTATTGGCAGATGTCGGGCACACTTCGAAAAAATTTATAATCTCTGCATCTACCTATATTCTTCTACCATGGCGCAGACATTTCATCCGACAATATCGGTAGGAAAACTTTCATGCGATATCTACCCTTTTAAAAGTATCGAAACTATCGATATTGAATTCTTTTTCTTACCACCTCTAGAAAAAAACTTGAAAACAAAACTTTTGATAATGGCTAGAAGAGTCCAGGATATACCCATAAGACCCAGGTATGGTTTACCAGATGATGCTGATGGAGGTGAATTGACATCGGAAACTGGAAAAACTCGTAAAACATCTACATCCAATTCGGACATGTCTTCGTATAAGGAAATTCCATTCTTAGCCCAGTATGCAGGACCAGTACCAGATAGTGTATTAAATGATTTGACACCAACCGCCACAAATCCAGCACGGGATGATGAAAGCGTGGAAGATGAGGATGACGATGAAGAAAACTCTAAAAGTAGTTCATACGATAACAGCAACAAAACACCTAAACGACCACAAAGCCTTTTAAGTGATGCAATACCTTACGAATTAGAAGGAACAGAAAACTCAGAAGGACAGATGCGACATTTTGTTGCCGAGAATCTGGAAGAAAAGTTGCGTTTAGCAAGTCCACAGGCTGGGGAAGGTATGCTATTATAGCAGTTTTGCATCGTTCAGTTCTGTAATCTTTAAATTTTACTTCGCAGAATCACATCATAGTACACCGTGTGCATCTATTGCTGGTAATGTCGGGGTTGGTGGTATGACAAAACAGTTTTTTCAAACACCTATTATACCTCAAATCGATGCCAATGTTCTCAATGATATCGAAATTGAGGCCCAGTATTTAGCAGCCTCAGTAGATAACTTAACGGAAAATTTGTGTAATTTGCTGCATTCAATATCATCCATTACGGCAGATAATGTGGAAGTACATAAAAACGCAGTAAATAAGCTAACGGATAGTATGGACGCTAACATCAAGTGTATGTACACAATTATGGCAAAGACAGAAGAAATTTCAAAATCTATGCAGCCTACTGAGCAACTTGGCGGACGCATGTAAGTTCCGTATAGTATACAAATTTATATTTAATAGTAGTACAAAAGAAAATAGATCTTTACCCAGTAGGTGATTTTGAAGAATGTTGTTGTTGTACCAGCTCATACATATGTGTCCGTTCGGTTTCCATTTTTCTGACTCCATTCAATCAGGTTCTGCCTCTAAGTGCAGTCTCAAAAAGGATGCATCTTGTATGGGTTGTGTCCATAACGAGACTGGGCAGATGTTCTGCACGTCGCTGCTAATCCGGGCCCAGTAGAATTTAGGCGGCTGCACCATCCGGATCGTAATTGAGCCAAAACTACTCGGGTTTGTCGGGGTAGCTCTCGTTCTTCAGCTGCGACGGGAGGGGATGGTCTCCTAGCACAGTATCCACTCTATATCCTTCAATGGCTTCGGAGACCGCATTAGAGTGAATACTATTCAGTCCCGCTTGATAGAATGTAAAATTGTTTTCTGAGATATTTTTAAATCCATTGTATATACACAAATCAGAGATGGGAACCAGTTGTCAATGAAGATAAATGTGGCAAGGTAATCTACAGAAGAATGTATGGCAAGATATTAATTTTTAACTGAAGTTACCTTGATTTAACTATACCATGATTGGAATATAAAGGAAGCTAAATTTATTTAATGGGGATCTAAGAGCATTTCTTTCACATTCGAGTAATAAGACTTGCAGATTATTTTTTACGATCCACATTGTTCACGTAGTCTATTTCTTTATGTATATCATATATAATGCATTAGCAGGAGATTGCCTTGTATAATTTTACCACAGGCAGCGTAGGATATCACACCGAACAACAACAAAAAAATAAGGTGCAAAAAACACGCATCCGTTATAGGAAAAACCTTCATCGAAATTAGTTTGAATACACACATTTTATTTCTATGTATTTTATATTTTAACATTTTTATTTTTTACAATTTTACATTGAAACTTATACTTATCGCATTACTTGTTTTTTTTACTTTTCAGCCGCGAAATAAAGCGTCTTGTCGATATGTTGGATAACACCGTATAGAAGGAAACAAAAGACGAAATCTTAGATGATGACATCTTTGTAGCTCCATTATGCCCTCTAATTTAGTCGTACATTTTAATATTTAAGCAGAGTAATTTTTAAGTTATATCTATGTATAATTGGTTTACTAGTCATATATTCAAATGTATTAGAATAGTTATGTGTATATTTTTTTAAGTTACAAAAAATTAATAATTATAATAAAAATTCACGTTCACTACTGCACAGCTATATTTTCTCAACTTTTGCTTTTATAATTCGCACACTGTCTACCGGCCGGTCATTTTTGTCCGTTTCAACCATACCAATGCGTTTTACAACCTGCATTCCCGTGTACACCCTACCGAATATGGCATGCTTGCCATCTAGCCATTGTGTTGGCGCCAATGTGATGAAGAATTGTGAGCCATTCGTATCTGGGCCCGAATTTGCCATAGAAAGTATGCCGGCACCTGTGTGCTTCAAGTCTGGATGAATCTCATCGGCAAATTCGCCACCATAGATTGATGAACCGCCTCGGCCAGTGCCGGTGGGGTCGCCTCCTTGTATCATAAAATCACGAATGATCCGATGAAATACCACATTATTGTAATAACCACGTCTTGATAATTCGGCAAAATTCCTGCATGTATTAGGTGCGTGCTTCCAATACAATTCAATGGTTATTTCGCCCATTCTATGAATAAAAGAGGAATAGTTTTTATGATTTTTCTAAGGAATATTGTACATTACTTACGTAGTTTCCAATGTTACAAAGTTTGGCTGCCATGATTTATCAGGAATGCCCGATGCAGTCGCCAAAGAATTTCCAGTTGTGGCTAGCATTATGACTCTTCTTATAATAAACACTATAAACAATGCACATTCGGTGTAATTCACTGAAGGTTGATTCTACAATATATGTGCATTAGTGGTCACGTGTCGTATAACAGATACAGTACAGCTGAGTTCTCGTGACATCGAAATATTGTTCTCCCAAAAATTCATAAAGGAAATCGTTCGGCAACCCTACTTTTTAACATGTAAGTGACAGTCCATGGTATAATTATTACAAGGTAAAGGTGGGAATACATAAAGCGCTTAACTGGCTGGTTTTAGTCATCGGAAGGCTTCTTCGGAAATGAACGAAGGAGTCTAGGAAGAACCCAGCCGATGACTTAAGCCAGCCAAATATGCGCTTTATGTATTTCCACCCTTAGTGTGAGAATACATAAAACGCGTTTTTGACTGGCTTAAGTCATCGGCTGGCTTCTTTTTTTCCAGGTGCATCTCAGCATGTTTTGCAGTCACCATGGTGCGAAATCACATTTCATCGTTTTTCAAGAATTTGACTTGGTTATTCCCGTATTTTTCGATGTCATCACGTAGTTTTCACATATCTTTTATAATGGAACAATTTTAAAATGACAAATATACAACTGTTTATCATGGCCAAATAACTGAAGGTAGAACAAAGCTAACCCCTAAATACAATTTTTTTCTTTTTTTTTTTTTTTTGGTGCCCTTATTCTGTCCAAACATAAACAGATTTTGTGTATGTGTGTGTATTGTTGTGAATAAAAAAATACAATACAGGGTGAGATACAAACTGCTGGACAACGACTGTTTTCTCATCGGAGAAAACCAAATTCGGCAGTTCACCACTTTCGGCCAACGAAGCAACTCTTTAGCGCTTTTGAGTCTATTTTACGTAAGTTCTTGTGCTTTTTGGGATTTCAATGGCTTTACACCGAGCTCATTTTTCAATATTTGCCGAATGGATATTGCGATATGTTCAGCTCACGAGCCATTTTTCGGCCACTGCGACGAGGGTTTCGATGAAGTCGCTTCTTTACTCTTCGAACCATTTCTGCTGATGTTGCTGTTTTCGTCCGTCCACTTCCTTGACGTCGGCTTACGCTACCAGTATCACGGTAACGAGCGATGGTACGAGTCACAAAAAATTATTCACATTTAAATGCTGGAGTGCTCTAACGATAGCCACTTGTGGTTTTCCAGCCAAATATAAAGTAATCACACTATCACGCTTGAATTCAATCACGAATAACTTTTCTTCTGGAAAATTCTCAAAAGCATTTGGTTTTGTACGTTTGTAAACAATATAATGAGCTGTCGCTGGAATAATTATAACATATGTCGGCCGAGTGGCTTAAAAATGACAGTAGTCGGAAGATGGTAGCATTTTTTTCATCTTACCCTGTAATTTGAAATTATTTAAAATTCTTGCAAATGTAAATATTCGACGTAAATGGGTAACAAATTGTACAATTTTGTGATAAAACTGTATTGTCCTACAATTTTAGATTTAACCCTGAAGAATAACCCCGAAATTGTTTCGCGGGTTCTCCCGAATATAAAGATTTTGTAAAAAGCAAAACCAACTGTTGCATATTTAAAAGTCTATTTGACACTATAAGACTCCGTTACAGAGTTGTATCTTCCTAGTTTCCTTGAAGTTGAGCAACCTTTCTAATTGAGCCATGCTGTTTATGATATTTTGAACCTTTTAGAAATATGTACGATATCTGCTGATTCGAATTTTTTCGAGAATAAACGGTGTAAGAGGGCGAGAAAAGAATGCGACCGCTTCGCTTGGGTGTAGATTCAATTCTCGATCCGGCTCGAAATGATTAATCTAAATAGAACTAGGTTCAACGCAAATAGTAGAGAAAGAAAGTGTAGCTTGTGCAACCTTAATCAAGACGAAACTATATTGCATTTCTTGGGAGAATGTCCGGTTCTGAAAGGGTTCCGAATACGCTGTTTTGAATCAACCTTTGAAAAACTTTCTAAGATGTGAAAGAAGCCATTGGCACTACCGTGAACATAGTTTCGATCTACTCATCTGTACTTTGAAAGTGCATAAAGAGGCGAAGAATAATATCACTCAATGTACAAAACACACTCCCCGAGACGGAAAAATTCGTTTGAATCAAACTTAAACGCCAACACCAATAAACTGGCGTAAACCATCTCCGTTTGACTTAGAGCTTTGCAAAACAACTAAATATACAAATTTGCGTGTTTGTTGTACAGATGCAAATTGTGGCAGCCACATAACAATTGTACAAACACACGCGCAATTTCTTACATACTCATGTAAAAGAAAGAACGGAAACGGAACTTTCCGCTGAACACAAATAAATCACTGCCATTTTATGGTAATAATTTTACAAAACAATGTTGCATGTTATTCGTTAGCTTTCTTTTAGCAAAACAACGAAAACAATTATGGAGAGAGCAACAATGCTATGTACCATTTAAAATTTCCAAAGTTTCAGTTATAGAAGCAACAAAACATTAAAGCTGTCAGTAATGTTTGTTCTTGTGAAAATCCGCAACACAGAAAGCGTGTGGTGGCTGGGATGCTGGCACAAGGCCAGGAAAGCGAAAGAAAATATTTTGTTGCGTGAATTTGGAGTTTAGATTTAAGCGAAACATACATATTGCAACAAAGGCAGAAGGCATCTATTACAACGACAACACATACACTGGTGGCCAAAACTAAAGCAACTGAAATTACAAAGAGAATGAATGCCCTGTAACTTTTTTAAAAATTAAGAAAATGAGACAGTTTTTTTTTTAGTTTTAAATTAGGCACTTGATTCACTTTTTAAAAACTTAAAACAAAAAACCAAAATTCATTTTTATATAAAAATTAATGTATGGTAAAGTCAATTAACCCGATTTTGGCTTGGACAAAACAAAAGCAACCCCGTTGAACATTCATATGATCGCTGAAGTTTCAGTTGTTTTTACTATTATATTTATCGTTTTTTGCTTCCGTCAACAATTTCGCTTGTCATAATTCATTTTTGAGAAGTTTTTTACAACAGCACCTGTTTGGTTTCACTTTTTTAAGCACTGCCCAAAAAAGTTTAAAAATGGCTAGAAGCAAATACAGTACATGAATAAAACAGAAAATTAACAGTGACTTTGAAAACAAGCTATCGTAGAAAATGATTTCCGAGAAATATTTCATAAATATTCCTGTGATTTCTCGTATACAAAGTCGATTTTATGAAACTGTATTGATCCAGTTTCATAACAGTCTACAGTGGTTTCTATTTACCTGCATCAACATTAGCTGCGCATTGGCCTTTGCAGACCAAAAAACTTTTTTTATGTCATTTTTTTCTGAATCCCTTTATTTGAATTGTATTTAAGTGCCCAATCGATAGCTGCACATTGGACATTCCTGCCTCGAAAATTTGGTAATTTTTTTTTAATTTGGTTACAAAAGTTGTATTTATCTGCACAAGAAAATTTTTTGCAAACTCAAAAAAGACACTAAAAACTACCACTTCGTTTTTGTTTTTGTATTCACAAAAACAATAACAACACAAGAAAAGAGCATGCATTAAAAACATATTCTCGCTTCCTCTCCCACACTAAAAGATGATTAATACATATGTTGTGAATTTGTCTCTCTGAGTTTGTCTATCCATTGCTTAACTACTTTTGATGAGCTAAAAGAGAACACTCTTTTGTTTGAAGTTTCGATGACGCTAATGGTGAGCATCGCTTGCCTAGACAATTCATGAGAAAACTTACTTTGTGTTGTTGAATAAAGTGGTGTTTCCTTGAAATTAGTTTCAATTGTTGTGTTTAATATAATTAAACCACTTAATAAATGTATTATAAACTTTAAAAGATTCCCCATTGATTTTGGCTGGCTATTACACGTACGTAAGTAAAATAAATATTGCTGCTTTGTTGTGCACGAATAGAAAATAAAGATACCTGCACTTTTTGTGCACTTAAGTAAAATTAAAGATACCTGCTTCATTGTGCAGATAAATGAAATGAAGCTACCTGCATTTTGGGCATTGCTGCACAAGATGTCGTGCAATTTTTGATTGTGCAGGTAAGCAAAAAATACTGTATAAAGGATGAAGGCCGTGAAAAATTTCTGCCTGTACTGATCAACAAATTGTGAGAAAAATAAAAAAAACAAACATTTAAGAGTTCAACTGAATCGGTGAGAGAGCTTTCATTGGATATAAGCTCGAGATCAGTGCGTAGACGAGTAGTGGCAGCTGGTCTGTGTGCCCGTAAGTTATCAAAAAAGCCATTTATATTTGAAAAAAAAAAACAGAAAGCCAGGATGGCTTTCGGAAACGATAATATTAATTGGAATTCAGCTCAATGGAAAAACATTTTGTTGTGAGATGAGTCTACGTTTAATATTAAAAGCTTAGACATAAAAAATTATGGTGAAAAAAAAAAAAAAAAAAAAAAAAAGAAAGACTCATGCCGCATTGTTGCAAGGGTGAAGTAAAGCATGAGGTAGTGTCAAAAATGGTTTGGCGCTATTTTTCTTTCTATGAACTTGGGCCTATCCATGAAATAAATGAAGTTATGGATCGGTTTGTTTACAAAGATGTGTTGGGCATCACGTTGTTCCCTTTCGCTGAGGAAAATATGCGGTTTATTTGGGTGTTACAGTATGACAATTATCCCAAACATGCCTCAAAACTTGACCAGGCAAAAATTGGGTCATTTTAGTTTCCCATATATTATTTTTCATTCAATTACAAGGTAGGGAAAAATAATAAAATTTTGAAAAACGCAACTTTGAAGGTAGATTCTTGTAACTTGCTCTACCTTCGAAATTATTATACCATATACCATTGAAAAAATTTGTATTCCCACATAATATAGAAGACTCGTTGAGTCCATGATTCCGGATTCCCCGTGAATATGATATTGAGCTCCGTCCAACTAAAACCTTTGTCTATAAGCTCAGCAAAAAAAACTCATTTTGATTATTATGTGCAAGTTGCAACTGTACAAAACAGAATACCAAAACTATATCCTAGGAAAGTAGAAACTTCGACGGGTCGAACTTTTTTTTTACCATGAACATAATTGAATTATAGCCTAA